CAGATGGTACTTAAGGCTATGGCTCTGTATAGATTGTGCAGATAGAGAAAAGAAAAAAAGGCCCAGGCCCAAGTATTGAAGTGTTTCAATACTTCAAAGATGAGCAAAGGAGGGGCCAAGATAAAAGGCTGAAATGGACTGGTCGTGGGGTAGGAGGAAACTTAAGAACTGTGATGTCAGAGTATACAAGAGAAAAAAGAATTTCAGGAAGACAGGCAGTAGTTGTCCATGTCACATTCTTCAGAAAGCCTGAGTGATAACAGAACAGAGAAATGTCAGTTGCATGTAAGAAAAGGATAAGCCACTAGATTAGGAAAAAATGCTTTAAAATGTAATGCACAATTGTTGAATTTTAAATCTCCATCAAGTCTGTGTCTTTATGAATTGGAAAGACAAACACAAGGCATCCTCCAGTAGCTCAAAGGAGAATAGAGAACATCGAAGTGACTCAAATGATGAATCTGGATATTAGTAGGAATACCTAAGAGAAAGAAGAGAGCAAATGAAGAACTGATCATCCAAGAAAAAGTAGAAGAAAATGTCCCTGAACCAAATAAACACTGAAGCTTCCAGATAAAAAGGGCTTAGAGAACACCAGACAAAAATTAAATAAATGAGATGTACTTTTTGATATAATCTGCTGAAATTTTTTCAGTTAGTCATTGTAGATTTATTAAGCTTCATCATGTGTTACACATAAATAGAAGAATATGTCTATAGGCTAATCAGAGCAGGAGAAAAATGAATTATGTTTAAATGAAAAAAAATCAGATTGCGAGAGTTCTCTGAAAAAAAATGAAGTCAGGAAGAAAATGACGTAACATCAAGAGTTTGAAGGGAAAATATTGTAAACTAAAATCTATATCCAACCACGTTGTTATGTATGTACAAATGCAATGCTCAACTAACTTTGCAGTACAGGTAATGCCACCCTCTAAGAACAATTATTAGGTTTAAATACTTTTTGCTTTTAAATAAGAAAAAGAAAAACATTTTTAAAAACTGAACATTCAACTCAAAAAGATGGTTGGGAATTTAATTCAATCAATCCAATTAGCAGATGGTAAAGGTAAATATTAAGGAATTATTTCATTGAGTTGATCTTCAATCTCTGATATCCTTTCTTCTGCTTGCTTGATCAATTCCTCTATTAAAACTTGTGTATGCTTTGCAAAGTTCTCATGCTGTGTTTTTCAGCTCCATCAAGTCGTTTATGTTCTTCTCTAAGCTGGTTATTCTGGTTAGCATTTCATCTAACCTTTTTTCAAGGTTCTTAGTTTCTTCACATTGGGTTAGAACATGTTCCTTTAGCTCAGAGAAGTTTGTGATTACCCACCTTCCAAAGCCCGCTTCTGTCAATTCGTCAAACTCATCCTCCATCCAGTTTTGCTCCCTTGCTGGTGAGGAATTGTGATCCCTTGGAGGAGGAGAGGTGTTCTGGGTTTTGGTGTTTTCATCCTTTTTATGCTGGTTTCTTCCCATCTTCATGGATTTATCTACCTCTGATCTTTGAAGTTGGTGACTTTCAGATGGTCTCTGCGTGGGCATCCTTTTTGTTGATGTTGAGGTTATTTCTTTCTGTTTTTTAGTTTTCCTTCTAACAGTCAGGCCCCTCTGCTGCAGGACTGCTGGAAGTCCGCTCCAGACTCTGCTTGCCTGAGAATCGCCCCATGGGGGCGTCAGAATAGCAAGGATTGCTGCCTGTTCCTTCCTCTGGTAGCTTCATCCCAGAAGGGTATCTGCCAGATGTCAGCCACAGCTCTCCTGCATGAGGTGACTCTTTGGATATACAGGGGTTAGGGAACTGTTTGAGGAGCGAGTCTGACCCTTGTCAGAACTTGAGTGCTGTGCTGGGAGCTCCATTGCTCCCTTCAGAGCTGCTGGGCAGGGAAGTTTAAGTTTGCTGTAGCAGAATTCACAACCACTCCTTTTCCCAGGTGCTCTGTCCTGGGAAGGTGTGGCTTTATTTATAAGTCCCTGACAGGCTGCTGCCTTTTTTCAGAGAGGCTCTGCCCAGCAAGGAGGGAGTCTAGTCACAGTCTGCCTGCAGAGGCGTTGTTGTGTTGAGCTGCCGCAGGCTCTCTGCAGCTGCTGTGTATACTTCTTTGTGCTTTTGTTTACACAAGTAAGATTAGAGCTGCCTCAGTAATGGCAGACGCCCCTCCCCCCGACAGAGCTCGACTGTTCAGGGTTAAGTTCAAACTGCTGTGCTGGTTGCAAAAATCCCAAGCCAGTGGGATTCAGTTTGCTGGTCTCTGTGGGAGTGGGACCCACAGAGCCAGATCACCTGGCTCCCCACCTTCAGCCCCCTTCCTCTTCGGTGTATCGGCAACTCTGTCTCACAGGCACTCCCGAAGCCAGTCAAAACAGCTGCTCAGATCTGTGCTGGGAACTCACAGCACAGCTGAATCTGCTGCCCAGATTTGCCCTGGAAACCTGCAGCACCTGTCAGCATGCAGGGATCTCCTGGTCTGTAGGCTGCAAAGACTGCAGAAGCACAGCTCCGGAGTGGCCAGACATCCCCGATGGCTTCCGTTGGATAGGAGGGAGTGCCCTCTGGCCCTTTGCACTTCCTGGGTGAGGCACCGTCCCACCCTGCCTCAGTTTGCCCTCCTTGGGCTACACCCACTGTCCAACCTGTCCTATTGAGATGAACCTGGTACCTCAGTTGGAAATGCAGAGATCACTCGCCTTCTGTGTTGCTCTTGCAGGGAACTTCGCTCCAGAGCTGTTCCTATTTGGCCATCTTGGCCTCGATATTAAGGAATTAAATATCCACACAAACACGTGCATATATGGAAAGTAGAATCAGTAAATACCTCCAAGAGCAAATTCCTTGAAAAGACCAGCAATAGAGGAAAGTAACAATTATCTCTAACCAAGAAAAATAGGGAGAAATACAAACAACGATGGAAATGAGAAAGGCGATATGATCAGAGATTCTAAGGAAATGCTAAAATTTGAATTAAAATAAATAATCCTCTAAAATATATAAATTACCAAATCATTCTGAAGAAGATATAGAAAAGATAGACAAAAATAGAAAGGTCTAGAAAAGTTATTTTTAAAATAAGTCCTGAAATAGGCACCAGGTCCATACAGTTTTACAGGTGAATTATATTAATAGACAACTCCTGTGCTATTTAGGTGGTACAGCATAACAGTTGAAATGCTCCTTAATTCATTTTACAAATCTAGCATGTCATTCACACCAAACTGTCAACACCAGTTCGGTCATAGAGACCCCAACCCAGGAAGTGCTGAAGGAATTAAGAAACAGAAACAGGGGTCCAAAGTGGATCCCGCCAGAGGTCATGGCACTTGCGAAGGCAAGGTCATCAGTTCAAGGCTAACCTGAGCAACCTCATAAGCTCAGACTGATTGGCAAAAAAAAAAAAAAGAAACAGAAACAAAGATAGAGTGCAAAAGTGGGATCAGAGTGGGACCATCAAGGAACTGACAGCATTTCCAAGCTGAAAGCCCAGAGCAGACTCTGACCCACGTATTTATTCTTAGTGAACAAGTGATTATTTTTAATAAGCAGGTGCTCAGTGTTTCTTCATAGAATAAAGATAGACTAAACAGGCAGATAATGCCTGTTCACTGCTAAAATAGAAATAAGCTAGAAAGCACTCTTTGTGAGTCAGCAATGGGGACAAGGTCAAATATCCTGTGTTTTGGGAGTTGGTTTAACTAGTGCATGACCAGAACATATTGCCTACTATTCTAGCAGATTTCTCCCTGGAGGTGGCTCAGTGTTCCTTGCCATCACCTCTCAGCAAACAACATACACTCCATCACACACATGTCAAGACCTTTTCCCAGCATCAAACCTTATGGTTTTTTATTCACAAAGATATATCAAGCACATTAAAAGCTGAATATTAATATCATATAAATATATTTGCAAAAATAACAAGTCAAATACTGCAAATCAAATCAATATATATTAAATTATATATTCATATATAATTCATTAAATATTGCATATATTAAGTATATGCAATATAGTAAAAATAATGATGATTACAAGTCTGATTCAATATTAGAAAATCTGTTATTAAAATTTATTGTTTTAAAAGACTAAGAAAGAAAAATATGATCATCTTGATAAAAACCCAAAAGAAATTTAATAAAAATCCTGAAGATAAGGGATATGTAATTATATCAACACCCATTTAGAAGAAAAATCTAAGCACATGTCTTAGAAAATCAGAAGTACGAGGAGAATGGAGGATACTCATCACTTCAGTGTCTAATGTCTCAAACGGCCTAGCTAATGCAATCAACAAAAAATAAGAAAAAACCCTAAGAACTTAACTCAAAATTATTAGTTAAACAAATTTTGGTATAATTGTGCAATGGAAAACTGTCACACATATCAGAGAAGATGTAATGTCATGGAAAAATACAATATATATAAGAGAGATAGTGACAAATGATACAGATTACAGATATAGGCAACGTATTGAGGCATATACAACAAAATTTCAAGTGGAGAATGTTCTGTTGATGGAGATAGTGGGCAGTGGGTTGCCCTGTTCAGTTGGCCTCTCATTCGCTACTCACTGGAGTTTCAAGGGATTTCAAATAAGCAGGAAGGGGTTTGGCCAGGAAGAGAAAAATCTGACCGAATTCTTATTCTTAGGATCAAAAAGATACTATAGTCCCCTGGTTAGTGAGGAACCCTCAAGACTTCACCAAGTTGATGGAAAACAAAAGGTTTCCCTCAGGAGACTAACCCCTTAAAATAATAAGCCCTTTATAATTGTATAGTCATTTGGGAGGACCGAGTAAAATGGGAAATGGAAATAGCACTGCATTAGGTTCCAGGCTAGCTTCACCACCAGCTCCAATATGTGACCTCAGGAAAGTCTCCTTTTCTTTCTGGGCCTCCATTTCCCCATCTGTACAACGAAGGTGCTCATTGTAGAGTAGACCTCTTCTACAAACCTACCTAACCTAAGTTCTAAGATCTCACAGGTAAAACAAAAACTCACCTCCATCCCCTTGGATGGCTCGGGCAATGCTCTGGCTGCACTCCAGTCCTCTGGTGTTAGATGGTGCTCTGCTTTCCCCATATAAGGCTGAGTCACCAGGAGCTCAACATCCATGTCTGTCCCTTGCAACTGCTGTGCTGCTGGACTCTCTTGGATCTTCTTTGGCCCTGCTTCATGGTTGACAGCAAAGTTATGCTCACAGGCTCCTGCACTCTCCTAACATGTTGAAACTCAAACCTATTTGGCACCATTGGTGCCAGGGGTGGCAGTCTGCCCACAGCCCCACTGCATGCCAGGCTTGGCCTGCAGGTTGGAGCTTGCTTTCCTTCTACCCAGGGCTTGAGTCACACTGGGCAGGGACTACAGGGTCTCCTGGCTTTCCATGTGGCCGGGGAGAGTTTCTGGAAAGCCTATGCCAGCTCCTCTGGGCTGTCCTTCTTGAAGAACGAGTGGTGACCAGTGATAAAGCAGTTCCTTGCCACTGGCAGGAAGCCCCTTTACACCCCAAAAGGGAAAACCTCTGAGTTTTCATGCATTAGGAAAGTTCTGCATCTTGAGACATTACCTGAGGAGAGGTTAGACTTGAACTCTTAAGGAGGAAATCTTTCTATAGGTCTACAAGAAATGTAGATGTTCCCGCTCAGGCTTCAGGGTCAAGCAGACGAGCATGGTCCAAATGCTTAGTCCAGTTACCTCCTAATCTCTTTTGTGAATTGGGTTTTTTCTTATACTCTGTGTTATTTCCTTGGTTTATTTCTTACACGCTACATTTTTCCTTTGCAATGCTATAAAGGAATGCCTGAGGCTGGGTAATTTGTAAAAAAAAAAAAAGAGATTTATTTGCCTCATGGTTCTGCAGGCTATACAAGCATGGCAACAGCATCTGCTCACCTTCTGGGGAGGCCTCAGGAAGCTTACAGTCATGAAGGAAGGTGAAGGAGGAGCAGGCCAGTCACACGGCGAGAGCGAAAGCAACAGAGGGAGAGCACCATGCTCTTTTAAACCAGATCTCACATGAATGAATAGAGCGAGAATCTACTAATTCCCAAGAGGACAGCACCAAGCCATTCATGAGGGATCCACCCCCAAGACCCAAACACCCCCACTAGGTCCCAGTTCTAACACTGGGGTTCACATTTTAACATGAGATTTGGAGGAGACACACATCCAAATCGTATCACATGCTTAGTATAGTGTCTGGTAAACATACAGTATAGTAACGGCTTAATAAATGTGAGTTGACTCTTCCTCCTTCCTAAATCTTCCCCGATTTATATGCCCTGCCACACACACACACACACACACACACACACACACACACACTCCTTTCCCAACCATGGCCCTGGAAGCTCAGATTAGGGGAGAATTAGAAAATAGATAAAGGGGCTGGGCACTTAGGCTCACACCTGTAATCCCAGCAGTTTGGGAGGCCGAGGTGGGTGGATCACTAGAGGTCAGGAGTTCAAGACCAGCCTGGCAAATATGGTAAAACTCCATCACTACTAAAAATACAAAAATTAGCTGGGTGTGCTGGTACATGCCTGTAATCCCAGCTACTCAGGAGGCTGAGGCAGAAGAATTGCTTGAACCCAGGAAGCAGAGGTTGCACCCCAGCCTGGGCGATAGAGCGAGACTCTGTCTAAAAAAAAAAAGGTAGATAAAGGGACCAATCCACTCCCCACCATTCCCTACTTTCCAAATGTGACTCCTCCCCCCACTCCCCATCACACTGCCAAGAGAAGGCCCAGAATCTCTCTCCCTCCACCCCACAGAACATCACAATTATATCCAACAGTTACTGAGCAGTTCTCCTTTGCCGGGAGCTGTGCTGAATGCCTTTGGTCTAGGATTCCCCAGTTCGGGAGTCAGGCCAGGCCACCCTCAGTTGTCCCAGCCAGGCCCGAGTTTTCAAGACAAAACGTTCTGGGACTCCTGCAGCCCCAAAAATCTCCAAGCAGCTGGGCACAGTGGCTCATACCTGTAATCTCAGCACTTTGGGAGGCCAAGGCAGGCAGATCACCTGAGGTCAGGAGTTCAAGACCAGCCTAGACAACATAGTAAACCCTGTCTTTACTAAAAATACAAAAATTAGCTAGGTGGGTGTGGTACTATGTGCCTGTAATCCCAGCCTCTTGGGAGGCTGAGGCAGGAGGATCACTTGAACTCAGGAGGTGAAGGTTGCAGTGAGCCTAGATTGCACCACTGCACTCCAGCCTGGGTGATAGGGTGAGACTCTGTCTCAAAAAATAAACAAACAAACAAACAAAGATCCCCAAGCATGACTTCCTGAGGCTGGACATTACAGAGAGCAAGCCTTCGAAACCTAGTGCTGTCCCATATGCCACCTTTCTTAGTCTTAGGATTATCATTTCAATTTTTTTTCTGAACTGATATAGCAATGTTCCTCGGAAAAGAAAAAAACATTGAAAATGAAATTTACCAAAGTAATTCTATCAACTTTGCCTTTCAGTTGGGTTTTACCGAGTTTGACAAATTGGAGTTATTCTAACAGCTTTCTAGTTCTTTCATAAATATATATATCGGCAACCCTGAAACTTGAAAGGAAAGGAAATTATCCATTTAAACAGGACTGGGTCTGCCCAGCAGCTCCCTTTCCCCTTCCTTTCTCTCCCTATACATATTAACAGAATTTCTTAAGACGTCTCCTAGCAGCGTTTCCACTGTAATTAATTGCTTTTCACTCAAAGTGACACATCTAAGAAATGAACTAGCACAAAGAAAGATATATTTAAGAAATTGAGAGCTCAGTTAACTTTGCTACAGATTGCTGTGAAAAGAAGTAGCTCCTCTTTAGAAAAAGAGGGACTTGAAGATTAAAGAAGTCTGCCTCACTTAGAAAAACACTACAAGAAACAGGGCAAAATGTTATCAGTGCTTGCCTGTGGGTGATGGAATGGTAGCTACATACCTCTTTGCTTCTAATGCTTTTGTGAGCTTTCTGAATGTTCAAAAGTAAGCACGAGTTATTCTTATAAAAAATATATATACTCATTGTGATAGCTGCTAAAATTAAGACCCCAATCTCACAAGTCATTTTCCATCTCTCACTTCCAACCTTTTCCTGGTGGAAACATCAGGGCAAAGGAGGGGGAAGGTTGTATCACTGAGGCTTTGTCCTTGAGTGAGAAGAGAACTCAAGAGACTGCACAATCTGCCACAGTCATGAGGTCATTGGCAAAGTTCTGATTGCTCTCTGTGCCTCTAGGTTATTAGGTTATCTGCCCATAGAACGGTGTGACACTTTCCCCATTGCTCAGTTCTAATAAATAATTAATATTTGCTCTAAGGTCTAGCGCAGTGGCTCATGCCAGTAATCCCAGTACTTTGGGAGGCCAAGGTGGGTGGATCACAAGGTAGGGAGTTCGAGACCAGCCTGACCAATATGGTGAAACCCTATCTCTACTAAAAGTACAAAAATTATCCAGGCATGGTGGCATGTGCCCATAGTCCTAGCTACTCAGGAGGCTGAGGCAGGAGAATTGCTTGAACCCAGGGGGCAGAGGATGCAGTGAGCCAAGATTGCACCACTGCACTCCAGCTTGGACGACAGAGCAAGACTCCACCTCAAAAAAAAAAAATTTTCTCTAAGCCAGTCCGTAAATACAGGCACGCCCATTAGAATAGATACTCCCAAGAAAACAGAAAATAACAAGTGTTGGTGAGGATGTGAAGAAATTGCTCTGTTGGAGGGAACATATGATTGTATTCAACTGCTATGGAAAATGATATTGTAGCTCCTCGAAAAATTAAAAATAAAACTAACATATGCTCCAGCAATTTCTCTTCAGGGAATATTTCCGAAAGAATGGAAAGCAGGCAGGGCGCGGTGGCTCATGCCTGTAATCCCAGCACTTTGGGAGGCCGAAGCGGGCAGATCACGAGGTCAAGAGATGGAGACCATCCTGGCCATGGTGAAACCCCGTCTCTACTAAAAATACAAAAATTAGCCGGGCATGGTAGCACGGGCCTGTGGTCCCAGCTACTCGGGAGGCTGAAGCGGAAGAATCGCTTGAACCCAGGCAGAGGTTGCAGTGAGCCGAGGTTGCGCCACTGCCCTCCAGCCTGGCCACAGAGTAAGACTCCGTCTCAAAAAACAAAAGAAAAAGAGAATGGAAAGCAAGGGTCCATGTTTATTGCAGCATTATTCATGATAGCCAAGAGATGGGAACAACCTGACATTGAAAACTCTATCCATTGACAGAGGAATGATAAAGACAATGTGGTCTATCCATATTATGGAATATCATTCACCCTTAAAGAGGAGTGAAATTCTGATACATGCGACACACAGATGAACCTTGAGTACATGACACTAGGAAATAAACCAGTCACAAAAATACATATGCTGCATGATTCCACTTATGTGAAGTATCTAAACTCATCAAATTCATAGAAACAGAAAGTACAGTGGTAGTTAGCAGGGGTTGGAGGGAGGAGGTGAGAGTAGTTATTGCTTAATGGATATAGATTGCTGTATTGCAAGATGAAAGTCTTCTGGAGCAATGCTTCACAGCAGTGTGAATATACACAACTGAACCGCACACATAAAAATGGTAAAACGGCTGGGTGTAATGGCTCACGCCTATAATCCCAGCACTTTGGGAGGTCAAGGCAGGTGAATCGCTTGAGCCCAGGTGTTTGAGACCAGCCTTGCCAACATGGCAAAACCCTGTCTCTACCAAAAAGACAAAAAAAATTAGCTAGGCGTGGTGGCACAGGCCTCTGGTCTTAGCTACTCAGGAGGCTGAGGTGAGAAGATTGCTTGAGTCTGGGAGGCAGAGGTCACAATGAGCTGAGGTCATTCCACTGCACTCCAGCCTGAGTGACAGAGTGAGACCCCTTCTCAAAAAAAAAAAAAAAACAGCAAGATGATAAATTTTATGTTATGTGAGGGCTTTAAAACCACAATTTTATAAATAAAAAGAATAGGTTAGGCCAGGCATGGTGGCTCATGCCTGTAATCTCAGCACTTTGGGAGGCCAAGGTGGGCGGATCACCTGAGGAGGTCAGGAGTTCGAGACCAGCCTGGCCAACACAGTGAAACCTCATCTCTACTAAAAATACAAAAATCAGATGGGTGTGGTGGCAAGTGTCTGTAATCCCAGCTACTCAGGAGGCTGAGACAAGAGAATCACTTGAATCTGGGAGGCAGAGGTTGCAGTGAGCCAAGATCACGCCATTGCACTCCAGCCTGGACAACAAGAGTGAAACTCTGTATCAAAATAAATAGATTGAAGACATGAGCAGGCCACTGTCTGTTTCCATGGGCTTAAGTGCATTTCTATAATAACCCTGGGAGTGATCTGATTAACAGGCAGCCTGTGGTCACCCTCCATACATCCCATTGGTTCCTTCATGTCACACCCACAGCAGGAGCCAGACAGAGGTCCACTAGACCTGGAGTGACCAGAGCCCAAGAACAGGGAGGGCCCTGAAACCAAGCTGACTTCCTGTGGATGCCCTTTAACTCCTAAGTGAGCAGCCCCAGGGGAAGACAGGGTTGGCCTTGGAGCTCAGCAGGTCTGAGCCCTTTTTTTTTTTTTTTTTTTTTTTGGAGACGAAGTTTCGCTCTTGTTACCCAGGCTGGAGTGCAATGTTGCGATCTCGGCTCACTGCAACCTCTGCCTCCTGGGTTCAGGCAATTCTCCTGCCTCAGCCTCCTGAGTAGCTGGGACTACAGGCGCGTGCCACCATGCCCAGCTAATTTTTGTATTTTTTTAGTAGAGACAGGGTTTCACCATGTTGACCAGGATGGTCTCAATCTGTTGACCTCGTGATCCACCCGTCTCGGCCTCCCAAAGTGCTGGGATTACAGGCTTGAGCCACCGCGCCCGGCCAGGTCTGAGCCTTTTAAGAGAGGAGGGGTTGGAGTCCACTCCAGGAAGAGGAGGGCTGAGGGGCAGAAAGCAAGAAAGAGGGTTACAGTCAGGCCCCTGCAGTGTCATACATCGGTAGGGCCCAAGGATTGATTTCCAAAGCAGAAAGAGGAATCAGAGATCAGCCCTTCCTACTGCTGGGCTGCCTTTCCTGTTCAGGTCACTCAGCTTGACTTCTTGGTGTCACTCTGATTCCTCCAGCCCCTGATGTCCTATTACTTACCTTGGCTCCTACCACTTGTGTCTCCCTGATCTTTCTATCATTTGCCACCTCTGCTCATGAATTTCTTCATTTATTCTTCTGCTCATTCTTCTGTCATTCATTGAATCTATTAGAAAGGTTAAGAGCACAGACTTTGCAGCCACACTGCCTGGATTCAAGCCCCAGTTCTGCCCTTGAACTTGGACAAGTTACTTCTCTGTGCCTCCATTTCTCCATCCCTAAAATGGAAATTAAGATGACCGCAAAGTGTTACTAGGACATTAAAGGACTTAAATCCATGCCTGGCATATAGTCAGCACTCAAAGCACGTTAGCTTTGATCATTCATTTATTCATTCATTGAATCAGCAAACATTCACAAAGTATGTACATCAGGCACAGGTGAGACTATATTGGGGACGACGAAGAAAAGGAATTTAGATACAGTCCTTGCCCTTGATTTGCCTCCAGTGTAGTGGGGGAAACAGACTTATATGCAACTAAACGTAAACCAAAAT